GCAGCAGCCGCGGTCTCCATTACCCCGGGGTACTTCCCACCCAACCCCCCAAACCCCACATTGCGGAGGGAGCATTCAAAAACTCCCCAAGGCCCCCCTTCTTCAGGGTGGTGCCTCTTGCGACCGCAATTAACAGGTTCGGGCTTCCCCCGGGGGGATGTGGGACATGGGGGCATACCCTCCCTTTCCCCTTCCCACCTCGCCCCGGGAGGGCCCCCTCGACTTCCCCCACGGGGACAGGACTAGTACTACTGCTAGGGGGCTCCGGAACCCTCTTCTTAAGCAACCACGTCATCGCCCGCGGGACTTGAGCACGGATGAACAGTGCGAGACCTCTCCCCAACCACCACCATCACCACCACCACCACCACCACCGTGTCCACCAACGTAACCCCAACCTGAAGGGTGGGATGAGGCGCGACGGCGATCACCCAGGTCTCTTGACCTCGTCCCTGCGCCCTCGCGCTGCTGAAGACTGCTGCTGCTGCTGCTGCTGCTACTGCTGCTGCTGCTACCACTCCTGCTGTTGCTGCTAACGGCTCAGCTGAAGCTGCAGCACGGACCTGATTTGGGTTATGATGGACCCCTTGGGGGGTGTGGGTTTGCGGCACCTCATAGCCCTCCTACGATTGTGTGTGGATTGGGGGGGGGACGGGCTGAGGGGAGCTGTGAGCGCCCGCGGGTGTCACCCCCTCATGGAACGGGTGGTTATGGCCGTCGTTAAATCGCGGAAGATCGCCCCAGCCGCACACACCCCTTTCTCTCACGCATTCTCTTTTCAGCACCGCCGCCGCCGCCGCCGCCGCCGCCACCACCGCCGCCTCCCCTGGTCAGGTTCGGCTTCCTTCCGCTCTTTTAGCGCCCTTTCCCTTTACCCTTCACGACGCTGGTGTCGTTGCTGCTGGTATTGCTGGCGTCGCCGCCGCCGCCGCCGATGCTACTGCCGTACTACCCGCCGGCGCTGCTCCGCTGCCCGGTACTACGAGCTTGTCGGCACCGCTGATTACTCGTACGGCAGTGATGACGTCACCCGGTTCCAAGTGCGCCACGTTATCCATCCCTTCCGTGACGTACCTATGACGTCACGACCGAGATTGTTGTTATTACATATTAGGGTATATGTGTGTTCACCCGTGTGGCCGTGTGGCTGATGATGATGATGATGATGATGATGATGATGATGATGATGATGATGATGATGATGATGATGATGATGATGATGATGATGATGATGATGATGTCCGCTCCAAAAACACACATCAGGACCACAGGTTGACGGCGATGCTTCCTTTCGACATACCTACCTACATACGAA